GAATTTTTTATGGCGACCATTTTACAATTGAAGGTCGCCAAACGGCGACTTTTTGATAAATTGAGCTTGGAGCGCTGTAAGAACATATAAATTTGAATCGTTTGATTCTGAAAAATAGGGAAATGATTGCCGAAAACTTAAAAACGGTTCAAGCTCCATTTTCCTCCTTTCCCAATGTTTCGTTGAAGCAGCCTTCAAACTACAAGATGCCGTCAGATTTCTGGATTATAACTGAGCTTATTGTATGTACCTTCATTCGACCAAGATACCACTGAAGGTAAACAAAACCGGTCAAAATTTTAAAGGTTAACAAAAATGGTCCTTACCTTGTCTGCAGACACCGATACACGGGAACAGGATGTTATTAGGGCAATGCATACATCGGAAATGAAGAACATTCTTGACTCTACTACCATTTCGAGTTCCCAAATAGGAATGACGCGAAGAAAGGTTCTTTTCAACAGCGGGTCAACTCTAAAGGATGGTGTTAGTCGAGGCAATACATCCGAAAAATTCCTACCGAAAAACAAAGTGATTGATACAATCACTCACAAATACCCATCAATTTTTTAATTTTACATTCAACGTTTGATATCGCCTTTACGCAACGAAATAGCTACATGTACATCAGCAGGCTTTGCTGCCCTTTTAAAGAAAAAAACGGTAAAACGGTCATGAACTCTTTTTCGGGTCAATTGCCATACTTTCCTCCTTGATCATTAGCAATGCCAGGGGAGATTTTAGTACAAAAAGGGCAAAAAGCCTATTATTATTTCAAAACATACACTTACAGATGTGCTGAAATTTTCTGAAATTCTTTCAGCTTTAGCTTCTGAGCTCCATACCACTCAAGTTTGTTATAAGATCCTTCGGTATCAGGCTCTTCAAAAGGCTTTGAATCTCCTCGTAAGAAATGCAGAAGTGGCACGGCAAACAGCCACGTCTCTGCATCTGTTGCCAAGTCGTCCCTCATAATTAGGTTACAGAGTACCTCAATCCCCTCGGCAGCAAAGCTATGAAAAAAGAAAATAACAAATGACTTTGTGAACCTGTGAAGATTAATTTAAACTTACTTTCCCTGGCACCGTTTCCACAGAAACTTCCAGCTTGACGCAAACCAAATTAGTTTCATATTTCCCTTAATTTGGCATTGTGTTCTTGTGCTAATTTTTCCCCCAAAATTTCAGGGAGTATACTGACAAATTTCAAATCGGGGACCTCTGCTATTCTGTGGGTTTTTTTACTATCTTTTTTTCTTCATTGATTTTCTCGGTAAACCTCAAAACGAGACACCAAAGGATGTCTTATAAGAACTGATAATGAGAGCGATCTTCGTAGTAATGAACATTACTTTGGCAGTAGCGAAAATAAGGCATGAAAAAAATTCAGGCCTGTACGGGATTCGAAAATAACCCATGACCTTTGCCAGACCGGTGCAGTGCCCTACCAACTGAGCTAACAAGCCAACTGGGAACTGGTCATTATGTTGGTCCGTAATAAACCCGTGAGATGATGATTCAACGTTTGTGAATATCTGAAATCATTTATGTGAACTGCGGTCAAAGAAATGAGTATGAGAGCGAACTGTTAACAATTTGCCTAAATTAACACAAATAAAGTTTAATGTTTTATCATATGTATGATTGTATGTCGCGTGTTTTTGTTCTTTTTTTTTTCCTGATGATGGATTTTTTTTTCAGAAAAATCAATGTTGTTGTCACTACTATCAATTAAAAATTTTGCAATTTTTTCAACCTTTTTTAAACTGATTTGTATGTTTGCACACTCAACGAATTAATTCTTTGAGCTTGGAGCCTCATCGACACTTAGTGTTGTCAGTCAGATCACCCTAACGAAGGGGCTATCGCTCGAAAAGTGAGCTTTGTTAGAAACTCTTCAAGGTGACTCAGTAATTAACATTATCGACTCAGTTGATGAAACCAGATTATCCCGTCTACATGTTTGGTGCCTTTGACAAAACACTTTACAAAAACTTGCCTTCTGAGTCCCTCGCTAAATTCGTCCAAAACGACTTCATACATAGTACATTTTTCCTCAGTAGGATCTGCTTCAAGTGACAAGCATCGTAAAAGTGTAAGCACTAGTTCTCGTGATAACTCTGTTTGGTAGTGTTTGAAAAGCGTGACCATCCCCAGAGTGGAGACCAGTGCCGAAACTCGGGTTTTAAATCCAACATCTCTCTTGGTCAACACTGCGTAGTTTTCCCCCATTTTAGGTTCCAAGTACTCTATCAAAACCTTGACACAAAAAAGGATACAGTCCAAAATATAACTGAGTTTAAAAAAACTGTATCGTAGACTAGCTAATTTGGTAATCAAAACAGGCACGCCACAACTTTTCGCCAACCAGTGCATTTATTCACATCAGATGGGTCCATCTTGTTACAAATACTGACTGATACCTTTGTCAACCCAACCTAGTTTGTCACTAGGATCTTCTCCAAACTAAATTCTTATTTCCCATTGCGCGTTGAATTTCAGTAAGCAAAGGGGGAGCGATAGTCGAGCAGAGTGGAAGGGGGAGACTTCTCACTATCGCAACCGTTTTCTGACTGAACGTCTCTAACAAGTTAATCGAGAGTACCCGTAATCCACTTTCAAAGGAACACCTGTGGAAATAATTAGCCTCGACTTCATTACACTTTAATTGTTAGTAATGTGTTTAGCTTTTGAATGGGATGGCTTTACCTTGTGAAGATCGAATCTCGGTGGTTTCTTAACTACGGGCTTACTGTAAGAAAGGTTCGATTTCACGTAAACGTTGGTCACGCAATGTATTACTTGATCTGACTCCACTATCGCATCTGTAGCCGTCATTTCTATCCCCGTGTCATCGACAAGAAACCCTTTCCAATTTGGTAAGAAGGCGAGTAGAGCTGTCGCACGATTTTCAGCCGTTTCTTCCGAACGAAACCATCCTTTTACTGTTTCCCATAAGCTTTTCTCATAAATGTAGCTTACTCCGTCATATTGGTGCCATATTGCTATCAAAAAAACAAAATATTACAGCATTAAAAAGTGCTGAAAATGAATCCGCCTTCGTGTTCGTTATTCCATCGAAAACTGTTTGTTTTATCTCTGAAGCCTTTGTCTGCCGCTCAATTTAACTATTCAAAAACGTGTTTAAACCAACGCCAACTGGTAGTGAAGGAATGTCAATACAAACTTTAATTTTTTTCTACACCAGATCTAAAATCGCTCCAGACCTCAATCATTTTCCAATATTAAGGAGACGCGAGGTCATTAAGTTGTTCTTTTTTAAAAAAAATAATAATTATTGTTGACATATGAACATCCAGTCGTCGGATCTAATAGTGTGAAGGCTTGACGCAAAACAAATTGTTCTTGTAGTCAGGCACCATTTAAATCTGGTTAGTAGTCAATATTAACATTCTACCGATCGAGAAAAAGTTAAAATCTTACCCCCAGGTTTCAGGTGTCCTTCTGGGATGAGAAGGTATCGATCGACTATAAATCCACGAGGGCGTTGAAACTCGATAAGCTGTTCCCATAAAACTTCTCCATTCTTCATTATCACGTATTTGTAACGGGTTCCATCATAGACACGCTGGATGCTGAGAGTACAGCGACCGATATAGTACATAACCTTTTTCCTGTCCCTTCCCTTTTCACTGATGAAAATGATAAAAAGGGCAAAGTTAATTCACGCAAACTATAGAAGGAAAAAAAAGGGACAATATGCTGTTGTTTACTAAGCTGACATAACATGACTAGGTCTACTACATGGGACATCTGTGGTCAGGTGCAACAGTAGACGATAAGTTTTAATCAAACTTTCCTTCTCGGTCGCATTTTTTGATATGGGAAAAGCTAAAAACAGAGCCACGCCAGATTTTTGCAAGTATTCTCCCTCTTTCATTACAATACAAATAAACTATTTGAGTATGATTGATGCGGTGATAATAGAGATGTGAGCGTCAGATTGTTTGACGATTTCGTCTCATCTCAGTATGACCACCTCGCGCGAGGAGATTATAGCGAGTTAGTATAATTCCTCCGACGATTATAGATGTGCACGCGCCCTGATTAGTCGAGGAATGCGTCCTATCTCGCTCTAATCACCTCGCGTGAGGTGATTTTAGCAAGAGGAGCTTAATATCAAAATGGCTGCCTTGCGTTTTGTCAATGTTGTGCAGGAAGTGATAAACGCGATAGAAAAAATACAATTCTGAAGAGCACAAGTGTTACTAAGTTTGGCGTAACAACTTTTAAAAGAGACTGAGATTGTTGTTTTTAAAAGAGAGATAAGTTTTTGCTGATTGAATTAAATAAACCTGTTCAACTTGGGTATAGACTGGTTGCTCTTATCGATACGAGTAATCAAAACCATTTTAACAGAAAGGGTTCAGCATCAAAACGAGTTTACAAAAGAATTTGAAGGCACATGAGCAATTGTACCAAACAATTACTCGCTTCCACCTCCGTGAATAATGTTGAATAATATTCCTTTGCCTCCGGCAAGTAATAATGGTTGATTAACATTTTCAGTAAGGTCACTTACAAATGATAATTCAAAAACGCAAAGTTCAACTGGTCAACCACAACAAATCAATGCTATTCAAGAAATGCAGCGAATGAAAAAACGTTAATTAAAACTGCCCAATCAATTCCATGTACAGTCCGAACTCGAACTACTCAGAGGTCCATTATCAATTAAAATCCACGGTCGTGTACAGTAAAGAATGAGGTAGCATGAACAAACACACTTGTCTGCGTATAGTTTAAAATTCTAAAGAATATATTTTCCATAGCTTTACAGTGTTTGCTAATACCACAACATAAATATTGAAATATCTGTTAAAAGCCTAACCTTATTAATTCCATATCTACACAGTTTACTTCAAAGTCTCCTAAATCTTCTCCGGAAGCTCGTATGTGTAAGTGTTCCTCTTCCATTTTTAAGTTTGACACTAACAAAACATGGAACACTACAGTAACCCCATTCTCTGGTTCAACTTGCTTCAAGCTACACTTCGGCAGCGGTGAAGCCCTGTGAATGCACATCAAAGTAAAAGAATGACGGGGAATTAACAGCAGACCATGGTCCTTCAGCTACATTAATGAAATCGGAGCGAAAAGAAAACAAAAATTAAGGGATTGTTCGAATGATAAATATGAGTAGTGGCAGTTGATCACAAAGGACACTGACAATTATCTTGAACTGTCTGTGTTTCCGCACACTCACTCTCAATCGGACAATTCTTAAAAAGGGCTCAATTTTTTGCAAGAGAATGAGATAAATAATCTTTAATTTTTACAACATAAAAACGACATTCTCTTCTGTAATATTTTCAAAAGTTACCTGAGCGATATACAGTATCAGAAAAACTTACGATGGAGGTTGAATGTTTCTCTTTCCTTCTTTTCCTTGTCCTTTGTTTTTTGGAGCAGGAGCATTTACTTGAAATTCAGTTTCATCTTTTCGGTACCACTGTCCAGGAGGTAACTGCACCTGACAAATTGGGAACGTCAATAAGTCTCCTTCAGCAACATTCTAATTCTGTTTCTTTAAGACCTCAAAAAGACTTTAATCTATTCTTCTTGACCCTTACTTATACGAATTGGCAAGTTCGACTTATCTGCTGTGATTGAAAAAATAAAACAACACTATAAAATGTCGTTGAGAACATTTATGTTTAATTCCATTTTCCTTAGATTTTCAAAAATAAGATTAGTTGCAAGATCAATATCTCCAACAACAGCAATTTGGTAAATAAATAACTTTTTCGAACTTTCTCGAGTCATCTACAACGCGAAGGCACACGTTCGAAAACAATCCTTGGGCAGTGACAGGCAAAAAACTGCGGCTCTGAATGATAGAGCATCCCAGCGGAATCTAAAGGTCTGAGGTTCGATTACTCACGGGGACTCAGAATTCTTACTTTTACCACGCTCGTGACAGGACGAAAAACGTCCAAAATGTTTGGCTTTCTTTGCGAAACCTTTTCTTGAAAAGTCATTCACTTTCCAAAAACAGTTTTTCTTCTCAAAATATTTGCACATTGTCATTACTTACTTCCTCTGAGCCATTTGGAGGATCTTTCAAGGCAGTTGTATCCCTTTCCACATCGTTCTGGACCAGAAGTGTGGTCTCGACATTCCCACCGTCGAAAGGTGGATTTCCGCCTTCAAATGACTGTAATGATGTACCTGGAGTCTGTGTATCTTTTACTTCTCCTGCCTAATAGAAATGCACAAAAGACAATGCCAAAAAATAAGTTACTGGGGTAAAAATGATTTTTCAGTCAGTTCCACAAACATACTCGAAAAAGGGTATGGGCGGGCTATTGGCAGGAGAGAATGTATATCATGACCTCCCGATTTTTTGTTTGGTTGTCTTCCAAGAAGTTGCAAAACCAAGGGAGTAAACGAAAACAGAATTCGAGCATCAGGACGACATTCTGGAATTTGGACTTCGTTTTAGCAACCAAGTACCCCAGTGGTCTTCGCAAGTTAACTGCAATTACACTCAACCTGTAAAAATCAGTTAATTACTTATTAACTCATCCACAGGTTAATGGAAGTGTGATTAATATCACGTAGATCACTCGTAATTTCACCAAATGTTTCCCAATTTACAAATCTCGACAACACGTAACGCATTTTTTAGGGTGGAAACACCTTGTCATTTGCAAAGGGGAAAGGATTGGGTAATTTCATTCCTTCAGGCTGAAGTTTCTGAGGATTTTTGAAAGAAACTTAGCTACTCATCCAATGCTTTTACGTTACCTTCACATAAAATAACTTTATTCTCCACGCCTTACCTCGTAGCCTTTGTCATCCACCCTTGTGCTCCCTAAACCACTAAGAGGGTCTTCGTCCTCAGCAGAAAACGTCACTAAAGTAGCACGGTCGAGAATTCCATTACTGAAATTTGGAGCTTCATCCTTAAGAGATTGTGAAGTTTGAATAGGTATCTGGTATTCTTTTTCCAGAGCCTGCAAAATTTTACGTAAGATAACAACGAAGGAAAATATAAATCAGTGTGAGGATTAGGTTACCTATACTTTATCATTGATATCTTGTTTAATCAAGGACAAGGACTTCCTTTCCATCAAGGACACAGTTACACAGGATAATTCAACTGAGTAGGCGTCACGGATTAAAACCTTCCTGAAGGTGGCCCTGCAAAACTGTTCATTTTCGTATGAGCAACGGTTAAAACCAACGAAGAAAAAAGTCTCAGAGAAAAGTTCGCAACAACTACTTTAAGATGAATGGGAGTGATCTTCCCATTAATAAACACTACTTTAGCAGTAGTGAAATTAAAGGCTGAAAATCATCTACTAATCCGCAATTCAAATATATGATATTGATATATTTACAGTCATCTATTCGTCACTCCATGGGTTTACTATGAACCAACGTACAAAATGACCAGCTCCCAGTTGGCTTGTTAGGTCAGTTGGTAGTGCACTGCACTGGTATCGCAAATGTCATAGGTTCAACTCCGATTTCATTCCCAATACAGGCCTAAGTTTGAGTATTTATATTCATTACTGCAAAGATCACTCTATTCATTTAAAAATTAGCAGTTTAATTATATGATATTCAATCTTCACAATCATTCAATACTTTAACATAGCTGTAAGTTACCTACCTGAGAAGAATTGTTTCCACGAATGTTTTCAGTTGTTATATCATCAAGGGGATACGAGGAAGGTTTTTGAGAATTTGCATTGACCAACTGGCTAGAACTGGGTGGCCCTGATGGTGGAAAGCATATATGTTCTTTCCCAGGGTTGTTAGCAGAATCAGCCCGATAGTTTTTCTTCTCTTCACCCTTTTGCTGCTGATTAGCATATGTCACCAAAGCATTATCTGGTGGATTGGCTTGCATCCTTTCTTTCTCCCTATTACTGACTCCATCATCCCTTCCCATCTGATTAGGATCAAGGCCACCCTGCTCAAGTTCTGCTGGACCCCTCACCGTTTCACCATTAGTGTGTCCCGCTTTCATGGCTCTTTGGCTGTCATCCCCGCTATCTGTGGAACCTTCATCAAATCCTACTCTGTTGTCAAACTTTGATTGCCTCCCATTTTGTGTTGCTGTTGGCTCTGTATCATCTGGTTTATCCCATGAACCCGACAGGTCTGCCCCACAACGAGCTGTAGCACCAAACTGATAAGGCAAACCACTGTCTCCCACTACTGCTGGCTCTCGGGATGTTGGAGGGGCATTCCCTGAATGATGATTGCCTTCTAATGACTCATTCTCTCTTTCAATTGGCTGATTGTTCATGGGAATACCACCCTTACTGTCTGGCTGACCCTGGTGAATCACAGGTTGAGTTTGCTGACTTGACAAAATCTCATACACTTCCCTGTCTCTGGATGACGGCTGCTGCTTATTCTGGCAATCACCTTTGTGTAAAGGAAAAAAAAAATATTTCTTTGTTGGGTAATTAGATGCAAAAGCGTTTTGTACCGTTCGGGTTTCAAGCAAATTTTTCTCTAATTGTGCTTTAGAATTTGAAAGAGAAAAATATGTAACATAATCTCTACAATATAACCTATTTTTTGGATCTCCACAGTTAAACATAAAAACAAAAACTCTACAAAATTACAAAAGATATGAAAACTATTAAAGTTATCAAAAAGCTATCCTAAATCAGTATGTTTTCAGGTTCCATTTAATTCATTCAAAGATCTTGAAGCAATATTATGGTCCTTAAAAAAGAGTTCCAGAAGGATGGAGCAGCTACAATAGCTCAGGCTCTGTACCCATAAGCTTCTACCTGATTTAACCTCAAGTTGTGGAGCACCAGACTGCTGTGTGGGAGGTTGATGATAAAGATGATCCAGCCCCAGACCAGGCCATCAATTGGGGTCTTAAAATAACTAAGGAGAATAAGCTGCCTTTGCTATCATAATAACATCTACAAATGGTCATAGACTATTAAAGTCTTTTCAGAAAAGGACAAAAAGTCATAGCCCCATCTACATCTTTTGTTTCTCCAAATCAATTCTTGTCATTAACATTAATCTTTTTTGGTTCAATTGATTTTATACATTGAACATTTTCATCTGTGTACCAATTACTGCAACAATGAATGTAATTGATTTATTACTTGTAATAATACCCTTATGGAATGGATTTTGGAATTCCTACGAATTCCTGGGATTATCCTAGGAATTTTTTCCAAGGAATTACTTAGAATAAGAGGTGTGAATTTTCATAGGAATTCTCACCTGCAACAACTCTGGTTCTAAAAACCTGGAAATTCCCAAAAATTCCATGTTTATAGCCAACAGGACTTGGAATTCCTAGGAATTCCAACTCAGAGCACCAATGACTTCCCTGAGAGACTCTAGATTCAAAAGCTTGCCGGAAATTCCTAAGAATTTTTAGGAATTTCTAGGAAAGTTTAAGAATTAATGGGAATTTTAGGAAAACTTTGAGGCAACTAAGATAAAATAAATACCTGCATTAACTCCCAACTACAAATTCAAGTAGTCAATGAATTTATTTACATGCTTAACTCAGGTTTATATGTAAATTAATTTCTATTGTATATTAACATCAACTTGTAGTAATATTAGGATGAAATTAGATTTCTTTTTTTTTTCTTGAAACCTTCATAAAAATTATCCTCAATTAGAGCTATCCATTTAAGATAGTCCTAAAGAATCATTATATTTGGTCTGACACAAATTGTGAATAAAATCTGTTTATTTGTTTTCATGAAATACAATCACTTGAGTTATGTTTACTGCAATAAGAAAACTATAATAGTATGTCAACTGGGGCGACCCTAAGAGCTGGAACGGTGGAACGGCAGAATAGTGCAATGGCAGAATGGCGGAAAATGACCCCAAATCCTTAAACACAAAACGGTGGAAAATGACCCCAAATTCTTAAACACAGAATGGCAGATAATGACCCCAAATTCTGAAACACAGAATGGATGTCAGGGCATGTTGCACGAATTTGTACAAAGACACTCAAGTGCTTGGCTCATTCATCCCCACGATGATAACGTGCTTTACTAAAATTAAGAGTTATTAATTTTTTTCTTTCACGGAGTGGTATGATTAATAATGAGCCATTATACATATAAGATAGCTGCATTTTTGCATTGTAAACCTGTATAGTTACTTTTGTTATGCTAAATTTGCATGTAAGTGTGAGATCACAGGAACGTTTTCAGGCTTCTTAATCATAATGATGTTCAGCCCCAGCTCCAAACTTAGACTAGTGTGAGAGCAAGTCCTCATTACAAGCCCTTCAATATGAGCGTTTCTTCATCCACAAAAAAGTTTTAGGCCTTGAGTAACACTAGGGGAAGAGAGGTTTGCATAGGGTCACGTCCATGGGAATTTCTCATGGCCATAGAGTTGACAATTTGCAATTTGTGGGGGAACAGAAGAAATCTGCTAAACGAATTGGTGAAATAGCCTCTTTTTTGTCCAGAAAGTTTATTTCTTCCAATGATATGTAAGCTGTAAATTTAATAGTTGGATCGTGGTGTTTTGGACACCTGGTCGCAAAGAAATTCTTCAAATTCTTCCTGACAGATTCCTTCTGCTAACTTTCTTTTGTCTTTTGACGCCGTGAAAAATTCCCATGCCCATGACCCCATGCAAACCTCTCTTCACCTAGTGTTACTCAAGGCCCAAAACTTACTCGTGGACAAAGAAATGCTTATATTGAAGGGCTCGTAACGAGGGCTTCCTCTCACGCCAGTCTAAGTTTGTAGCTGGGACTGAACATCGTTATATTTTGAGAAGCCTGAAGACGTTCCTGTGATGTTCTCACATGTACAAGCGTTTGAGATATTTTTGTTTCAATAAATCAATGCAGATGTGACCAGGAAACTTATGAAAGTTGCAATTGTTTATTGTAATGTGGTATGTCAAGTTAGTTTTCACATGCTGTGCAACTTTTTATGTCACAACTAAACTCATGGCAAATTTAGCAGAACAAAAAATAACTAAACACATTTACAGCTCGAAAACGCAGCTATCTTTCATGTATAATGGTTCATTATTAATCATACGACTCAGTAAAAGAAAAAAAAATTAATAACTCTTAATTTTAGTCAGGCACGTTATTGTTGTGGGGATGAATGAGCCAAGTGCTTGAGTATTTTTGTACAGAATTTGTGCAACATGCCTTGACATCTGTTCTCTGTTTTAGGATTTGGGGTCATTTTCCACAGTTCTGTGTTTTAGGATTTGGGGTCATTTTCCGCAGTTCTGTGTTTTAGGATCTGGGGTAATTTTCAGCCTTTCTTTGTATTAGAATTTGGGGTCATTTTCCGCCGTTCCACCATTCTGGCTCTTAAGGTCACCTTGTCAACTGTTGTCCCTTCTTTTAACTCCATGGCACCAATGACTTGCTTTTCATTTACAACACTCACACTGTTCTCATTTCCCTATTGAACAACAGTAAAACCCATCTTCAGAGATGTCATGTCAACCACCAGCGCAACAAACCTCGATGCTCAAGTTGAAACTATTTGTGAGATTTTAAATGACTCTTTTCTTATTCAAATGAATGGGCTTGTTACTTGTCCTAGCTCAACCACCTATAATCATTCTAGCATAAGTATACTGGTGAATTGAAATTCTCGCTTAAAAATGGATGTGCACATTCCAAATCGTTGGATGTGTCTAAAATGAAGACCCAAAAATGAAGACCGATGATCAAAGACCCACTGGTCTAAAACGAAGACCCTGTGGTCCAAAATGAAGACCTTGTGGTCTAAAACAAAGACCCTGCAGTCTAAAACGAGGACCCACTGGTCTAAAACGAAGACCCACTAGTCTAAAACGAAGACTCTGTGGTCTAAAACGAAGACTCACTGGTCTAAAACCATGTACACTAAGCTAAGTTGCTCCCATTTCTGTAGCGCATAAATTAAAATGTCATCTAAGCACCCTACATCTGAGTGCACACAACACGTCGTGTCAAATTGTGTAATGCAGTCAAATTCCAAGTGTTGAAATGTACATTTTAGTGATGAGTTTGGTACATTTCCTCGTCACCAACATTAAATTTTAGATTTGTCAAACGCATATTGAGCAAATGACAGTGAGGTGACTTCAATGATACTGCGTCATACTGTGACCTACCACTTGATGGACGCTTGATCGATTGTAAAGGCTGGGCTCAAAGGTCATCTGTGCGTATTTTGCAAAGTGACATGAATAATCTTGTACAATCAAATACAACACATGCAATGTCCCTATGGAAATTTGTAATTTATTATATATTGGGCAAGTGTAAAAATGAACAACAGTTACAGAACTGTCGCGGCTTTGATATAGGTCAAAAATGTCTTACACAAATTTGAAGACTACATTTTGGTCTTATCACACAAATTTGACTTTTAATGAAACAGTCTCTTCATTTTGTATCAGAACACGTTTACATTTCAAAGGCTTTTGCTTACAGCTGTCTGATGACTGTGTTCCACAATTTGACATAATATTAATTATTCATGCGTAACAACATGATTTCTCATACAATTTGGTTTAAATAAGGAGTGTTATAAATATGTGAGCCGTACAAGCCAAGGGGCAACCCATGCAAGTCATGCGAGTCACAGTCAAAATATTAAGAATTTTTATTTGTGACAATTATATTTGCATGAGAACAAGAACAAGAGCAAAGGAACAAGATAACTCTGATTCAGTAAAGAGCGAAGGTGTTAAAATTACCCGATTTACTCAGCATTCTTGATGCCAATACATGGAGTTGCCCTGGAAGTACTGTTCTCTTTTCTCTTGAATGATTTCCCAGGTGGATATCAATGAATTACAGCAGTCAATGGATACCACTCAACAACCCATTCAAGTAGCAGAATGGGGGTTGGAGCCGTTAGGTTTACCTCAGAAACTTTTTTACTTAAGTCTTGAACCTTAATTAATTTTTGTCGCATTGTTTTTATTTTTTGCGGATCCTGAGCGATTTGAATAGATAAAATTTTCTCTAAATAACAAAAATATGAAACAAAGAAAAAAATTCGTCCAACTCAGGATGGCCATTACTATGACACAAGACTTGGCACAACGTACAGATGTTCAGAGCATTTTTTATATTTGACGCACCAGCAATAGTTCTGGCAACCGAAGCGAGATTAGGATTTTTTCTGGGAATATTTCAATTCTAAGCACTTTCGTAGCTAAATTTAAAAATTAATTTCTCAGGGAATTGAAAGAGAGTACCCTGGGAGGGAGGTTGTTCCGTTTATACTTGTCCCCAGGATCATCTCTGCATTCAAGATTGCGGGCGAGCAGTTTATAACAATAGTCAGTAGTTTAGTGATAGTTGGGCACGAAATGATCAACGACCTCCCAGACCTTAGGCCAATCAAAGAAAAAAAAATACTTGCGAAAATGGCTCGCAGATTTGCAGACTCAAAATAAGCACCATCCTGTCAATTTTTCAATGACTGCAAATTAATTGCACTTGTCCACAATTTTGTTGTCTTTGAAAAATTTACTCATGCCCATTAGCACCAAATTGCACCGGAAATCATGTTATTACCTAAAATGTATAGGTAATGAGAAGTGGTTGCATCTCTAACATCAACAGCAGATGGAAGATAGAATTTTCCCTAACCTTCCATCTGCAGTTGATGTTAGAGATGCAACCACGGCTCATTACCTATAGTAAATAAGTTTTCTTTGTAAAAAACCTTGCTATCAGTGGAAAGCAAACTTATTCTGTTCTTGTCCAACATCCTGGGTGGGTTCTACAATTTCCTCGTGGGAAATGAGCTATAAATGTTATATACAATGAGACTGGTAAGAGACATGAAAGCAAAATTTAATTTATGTTTCATGTCATATTGGCAGCGATCATTTGACAGTGGCTTATACCAGAGAATGATAGAGCCACCCCCTCCCTCCTGGGAGTTGTAGAAAATTACACAAAATATCACTATAAACTCACACTTCACTTACTTGGTATAATTTAAAGAATTGTACCTTGTGTGGAAAGAAGGCTGACATAGTGTACTTCATGGATGTGTCCCAACACAAGTGTCCTGCTTTTGTCAACAGGACATTCTGGCTCTAAGATGACATCGGGAGCAGTGGAAAGACTGCTGACCACACGAATGCAAGATTTGTAGCAGTTTGCTGCAGCACACAGAATAACATGGTCACCCCAAGCGCCATCTTGCCCCATGTACATTAAATAATCATTCCATGATTGATGTCCATAGATGAAGCAAGACAGATTTGTTCCATTCGCCTGTGAGAATAGTACAATAGAGAACGAAACTTAGAGTGTAAGGTTAATGGTACACTAGACCAGGTTGAGTACGTTGGAAGGAGTCATTGAATGAAAAAATAACAAAGAGATACTAAACAACAGTAAGAACAGATAACGATCAATCAGATCGGAGTAATGAACACAAGGATCTACATTGGGTGTAGCAGTCTCAACTGTACTCCTGAATTTGGCCTTTTGAAACATCGAATATCTGGTGTCCACCTTAATCAGAGTCAAGGTTATCCAATTAGGATTGTGCCATCTGGGGGAGATTCAAGTGCAAACTACTTCTAAAACACCTTGGGTTGGCCGCTTTCTCCACAAGGCAAAGCCCTTTAATTTTCACAAGGAGGTCTGAATTTATCTCTGACCTGAACATGGTCTCTACTTAAACACTTGAACAACACAGCACGTTTGTATGAGCAATCCAGAAGTATTAAACAATAATTCTCCAAAATAAAGGTGAATAGGGGGGTATTTACGGAGGCAAAGAGGAAAGGTAATTATCCACCACTTTCACCGACACTGAGGTAGAAAATTATTTACATATAAATTAGAAGGCGGTGAATAGTACTTCCGAATCACTCGCCAATGAATGCACTGTGTGATTATACTTGACGCTGATGTCAGAGTATTTATGATCCTAATTATCCTCTATAGGAGGAGCAGTGACATGTTGGCCAGTTGGTCCACATGTAGATTTAACCTTTATGGTGCTCCTGAAGTAACAGTGGTTAACATAGAGTGGAAGAATCAACTTACTAGTATAGGGTTTTTTCTGAGGTACTGGACCAATACTTGTCTCAATTCGTCAGGTTTAATTTTGATTCCCAGAATAATTTCCAGTTGATTTGACAAAGCATAAAACATGCAGTTTCCTAATCCTTCATTGTCAGCAATTATGAAGCCCCTGTCTGAAGCATTTTTCATCAACTCAGAATTTAGGTCTGTGTTGTCATTGACTTGGCTTGCATTGAGTTGCATCTGCTGTAGCAGAACAATTACCTCAACAGAACCTAAGCAGACAAACAGATGAATGAACAGAGGATAAATACCACCATGACCATGATTTAAGTCTGACTAAAACAAAAAATACTACGCTATAAATACTTTTTCTCTAGGTTTCTATGACTTAAAATAACTAGATAACTCTTTGTAACTCATCCAGATCGAAATTTAGAGAAACAAAAGTGTTTGAACACAGCTGTCTTATCGCTACTCTGAGAGCATTGCAATAATTTAAGGACTGCAGTCCTCTATTGTGATCCAGCAACATGCGGGGTAAGTGGATATTATGTTGAAAAAGCTGTATTTTGGATGTGAAATGCAAAACAATCAAGTTTGTGTGTGGATGTGTCCATTTTCGACTAACTGACGGCACCATCAAATCCGCGCATTTTATCCTACTTCAAAATTGAATGAAATGACACTGAACCATTTCCCCAGGAAATCCTTCGGAAATTCAAAAGAACTACACTTCGCCTTCCAAAAGCCAGATTTTCAGTTGATTATTTTGTTTAGCACATAGTCAAATAACAGGTTACTTTTGACCCATTTTTATTCAAGTCTGATGAAGGACGGATAAATTCAATTAGAATTTGTACACAAAACAATCAACAATTGCTCAAATTGCTGTCAACATAATTATGTTTTGATGTTGTTTTTCAAGATTTGGTACTTTTCATCGGTCCAAGTATTTTCAATTTGTGGCTTGGCACTCTGAGATTGGTTTAAAAATTTTTGAGCTTTTAAAGCAGCATTTTGGTGGAATTCAGTTATTATCGATTTTCTTGAAAATGGATTGATATTTAGCCAAATGAAGTATGCAGTGGTTTGTTTCACTGTAAGACCCACCTAACTTGAGAATATGAGCCAAAACAATTTTTAGCTGTTGCCACATTCAATTTTTGGCCACATTTGCTCTTAAGTTCTCTGACCTATTGCCTGCTTTTAAACAATGGATTAATCTCGTATCCATGTTTTGATGACGATAAAGAGAATGATGTGAACTCAATCTATGTAGAAATAATTGAGAAGAATTGAATGTACCACAAAGGCACGATTCGAGGCTAAGAGCTGTCGAGGAAACAAAGACCCGAAACCCTGACTTGAGTTATGTTCATGTCAAAGGTGGGAGATAACATAAGCAAGCCAATCACAACTTTGACAGTGATTACAAACATGATCTACCCTCATTATTATAACAGATGGATACCACCTTAGCAAGTATAAGAGCTCCCTAGATGATCACAGTGTACCAGTACCCAAATCAATAAAGTTTGACCATAACAAGCGTTCAGCAACACATTTTAACACACCCATCTTGATTCCTTACTCATTTGCTTCCACTGAACTAGCAGCGGTGCCAACAGAGTCAAGTGTGTCTCATAATGAAGAAACATTTGTACAAGAGATTCAAGGAAGCACCTAGATGAATTGGAATTCTCGCTTAAAAATGGATGTGCACATTCCAAATCGTTGGATGTGTCTAAAATGAAGACCCAAAAATGAAGACCAAAGACCAAAGACCCACTGGTCTAATACAAAGACCCTGTGGTCCAAAACGAAGACCTTGAGGTCTAAAACAAAGACCCTGCAGTCTAAAACAAAGACCCTGCAGTGTAAAACGAAGACCCACTGGTCTAAAACGAAGACCCACTAGTCTAAAACGAGGACCCTGTGGTCTAAAATGAAGACTCACTGGTCTAAAACCATATACACTAAGCTAAGTTGCTCCCATTTCTGTAGCACATAAATTGAAATGTCATCTGAGCACCTACATCTGAGCGCACACACAACGTGTCAAATTGTGTAATGTAGTCAAATTCCAAGCGTTGAAATGTACGTTTTAGTGACGAGTTTGGTACATTTCCTCACCACTAACATTAAATTTTAGATTTGTCAAATGCATATTGAGCAAATGACAGTGAGGTGACTTCAATGATACTGCGTCATACTGTGACCTACTGCTTGATGGACGCTTGATCTATTTTAAAGGCTGGGCTCAAAGGTCATCTGTGCGTAACTTGCAAAGTGACATGAATAATCTTGTACAATTGAATACAGCACATGCAATGCCCCCGTGAAAATTTGTAATTTATTATATATTGGGCAAGTGTAAAAACGAACAACAGTTACAGAACTGTCCTAGCTTTAATATAGGTCAAAAATCTCTTACACAAACTTGAAAACTACATTTTGGTCTTATCACACAAATTTGACTTTTAATGAAACAGTCTCTTCATTCTGTATCAGAACACGTTTACATTTCAAAGGCTTTTGCTTACAGCTGTCTGATGACTGCGTTCCACAATTTGACATATGTTGTGTGCGCTCAGATGGCACTTTAATTTATACATTTCAGAGGCTTTTGCTTACAGCTGTCTGATGACTGCGTTCCACAATTTGACATATGTTGTGTGCGCTCAGATGGCACTTTAATTAATTATGCACTCCAGAAATGGAAACAACTTAGCTTAGTGTACATGGTTTTAGACTGGTTGGTCTTTGTTCTATACAACAGGGTCGTCGTTTTAGACCGCAGGGTCTTCGTTTTAGACCGCAGGGTCTTCGTTTTAGACCGCAGGGTCTTCGTTTTAGACCGCAGGGTCTTCGTTTTACACCGCAGGGTCTTCGTTTTACACCGCTGGGTCTTCGTTTTAGACCGCAGGGTCTTCGTTTTAGACCGCAGGGTCTTCGTTTTAGACCGCAGGGTCTTCGTTTTAGACCGCAGGGTATTTGTTTTAGACCGCAGGGTCTTCATTTTAGACCGCAGGGTCTTCGTTTTAGACTGCAGGGTGTTCGTTTTAGACCGCAGGGTCTTTGTTTTAGACTGCGGTGTTAGAGTGAGGGTCTTCATTTTAGACTGCAGGGTCTTCATTTTAGACCGCAGGGTCTTTGTTTTAGACCGCAGGGTCTTTGTTTTAGACTGCAGGGTCTTTGTTTTAGACCACGGTGTTTGAGTGAGGGTCTTCATTTTAGACCGCAGGGTCTTCATCTTAGACTGTAGGGTCTTTGGTTTTGACCAGTGGGTCTTCGTTTTTGGGTCTTCATTTTAGACACATACCAAATTGTTGATCCACATTTATGACGATGTTTATGTTTTAAGATTTTGGCACATCCGTGGACATGAGACATTTTGCGTAACAATAAAAACTTTTATGATTATTGAATCCAAGAAGCCTTCGAGGTTAGAAAGCAAATCTGTGATATGAGTATATCAACAAAGTTGAAATGGTAAATTGGCCACCGTAACGATTACAAAAGCTGACATTTCGAGAGTTAGCCCTTCGTCGGAGGTAGTTTGTATAGCTGAGAATTCCTGGGAGTTCCTAGGAATTCTCAGAAAACTGGGAATTCAGTTCACAAGGGTATAATGGAAAAAGTCATGCACATATGATTAGCTGAAAACACATATTCTATGTAATACAAAGGCAAAGTTGTAACACAATTGCATAGTTGTAACACTGGTGCAAATTACAAATAGTGCATATGCTGTCAAAATTTCACCAATCTTGACTTTCTGTGATGCCTTTTTCATGCAAATTAGTCTTAATTACAACATGACTTCTCATGCAAACTGGTTAAACTGGACTAGCACATGCACAATTTTGTTTTCTTTGAAAAATTTACTTGTGCTTATTAATTAACACTACATTGCACTCGAAATCTTGTCATTACCTGTCCTTATTGTACAGATAATGAGCAGTTGTATACATGCATAGATCCAGGTGTTGTGGTCTGGCCTTGATTCCAAAATTGGGGGCGTATTCTGCAAAAATTTTCTTAAAAAAATAAACTGCTTAATGCAGTCTGGCCAAAGTCCCCAAAAAAGTGTTATAATTAGTGCCATGAGCTATAGAAATCCTTCATTACATTACATTACATAATTTTGAGTATAGGATTTGGCTACTTTAAGACAGTTTGCAGAAGCTGATCTAAGTTGTCTATAGTAGGTGTGTAGATAATCATATTAAAAACGTCGCTGGATACCGTTTATAAGTATTAAGAGGCTAAAATAAACTAATATGCTGCTCAGAAGGAAGCGAGTGAAGCTCTTTGAAAGCACATGGGATATGGTCATATTTCCTGGTATGTGTTATAATCATGTGTATAATATATGTTGATATGACAAAGCTCTTGACCACACTAAATGTGGGCCTTTGCACCCAAGACCCGATGTACTTGGCGCAATTTAAATAAAAACATTTGAAAAAATAATTATGACAGCCTGACTCATGCCTAAATAAGCCACCTCATACCACTGACCTGGGTGAGCATGCATGGCCATATATAATCTTAGATTTGACTACAGACCTACACTATTTATGTCTAAGATTGAGTGTTTTACAGAGCTCCTCCCCTGTAATGTGCCTCCCGTTACATAATTTTCAAGTTTTAAATTTTTACGTTTTTAGTTTTAAATTTCCTAAATTTTCAATCAGTAAATTTAAATTTAGGTATCCTCTTTTTTTAACCCTTTCACTCTCAAGATCTCATTGGTAATTCTCCTTACTGTCTGCCAATTTTAATGCTACTTGAGATAATTTTGAATTAGATCAACTAATAATCCTCAATAGATATTTTTCTTTATTCCCACTGCTTGTCTCCTTATTAGATTGTTGTAGGGAGAAATTCTGTCCTGATCAGTTATGGGAGTTAAAGGCTTAAGTATTATAAACCTATGAACTTCTGAAATGTATATTTGCATAATAGACCATTTCAGAGTTGTGTACTTAGTTGCCAAGCCTTTGATTTGAAGTGAGGCTAAGGGTGACATTGTTGTGATAGAGACCAGTATCTACTCAGCATGATAACAAAGAATTTGAATTTGCATTTGAAAAGCAGCCACATCTGTATCATAACAAGGTCACCCTTGGCCTCACTCCTGTTCAAAGGCTTAGCCACCAAGCCCACAACTGTGAAAAGGACTATTACGTAAGGCCCAGTCCAATAGATTCATAATGATTGTTCATGATTTAAATTGTAAATAATTTTGTACTTATAATTAAATCCT